TGTGTGTGTGTGTGTGTGTGTGTGTGTGTGTGTGTGTGTGTGTGTGTTCTTGAGAATATGTGTGCGCTCATCGGGGGAAAAACGAGATCTGCTGGAAATCCTGACACAGATCGATATTAAAGTCTCGTCCTCATTTAAATAGCTGGACTAGTTTGTTTTTAACCCTGTAATGCCAAATGTATCATATCTGATACGTACCGTTTTCTGAAATGTTTTGTTTTCTGACTCCTTTTGCATAATTTAATGGTAAAAACTTTGCTCAAAATCCTATTGTACACAATCAGATATACCTGATAACAGGTTTTTTTTTTCAGGTATTCAACTCATTAAATAAAATAATGACTTCCTATTCCATTTTATTAGGGAGACATTTAGGGTTTTAACACAACATGTCATCAACAAATTATCTTTCCTCCGATCCAAGAAGTTCCCTAATTAATTCAGTTTGTTCCCCAAACTTAACAAATCTATTTCCTTGACCTATAGTGGTTTTGGTCCCAAACCTGAACTAGTTTTGCTCCATAAACTTAAGTAGTTTTGTTCCCTAAACTTAAACTAAACTAGTTTTATTCCCTAAAGCTATTTTTCCCCCTAAACTTCAACTTAAGGAATTTTGGTCCCTTAAATGATCTAGTTTTTCTCCCCCAAACTTCAACCAAAGTGGTAGCAAGAAAAGTCAGAAAACAAGAACATGGAAATCAAAATTTGCTCCTGTAGAGATTATTTCTGAGAGAGAACAACCACTCTTGTCACAAAAAGCATGGAAAAACAGAATAACCGGATTATAAAAAAGGAGTTTACTTTAAATTGTATGAAAGTGTGGCAGAGACCTTGGTGGTTCGTTGAGAATTTTGCCATTTAATTCAGATAATTAAGCCTTTACTTGGCTATTGATGTGGCATAAACGCCTCAACTAACAATTAATTATTTTTTTAAAATCATGTTTAAAGAAACAGCTTAATTTGTTTTAGTCTGAGTCTTTGAGATTTGTCTATTAAATCAACCAATTTCTGGGTTATTCCCTTCATAACTTGACTGCGTTTGGTCATATTTGAGTTGCATCTTGAAGTAAAAAAACAAACAATTTTCTATTCAAAGATCATGTGAATAAGTTATTCTCCTCTCCTTGACCTGTCCCGCACACAGTCTGCATCTTTCATTTTTATGTTTGCCGCCCCGGTAGGTGCAATTTTCCCGGGCCTGGCACACATTGTTCTGATCACAGCACAGCTTGAGCTGCAATTGGCCACTTTGTGTCTGAAAATGCCGAGATAACAAGAATTCGGCGCTTCGTCGAGAGCGAAAGACCTGGAACCGAATCGTTTTTCGGGACACCGGCGACTCAAAAAAATCCCATCTATCCTTCTGTCCTGCTATCTGTAATGAAACCTAGCAGCTCTGCCATGTGCAGCCTATATTTCCTCCCTTCCTGCCCCCCCCCCTTCCCCTGTTTGCAGCGGAGGAATGCGCCAGCTGCATTAAGTGGGCCATTTATACGATGGGGGCAATTCATCTTACAAAGCCGTCTTATTAGACTGTCACTTACACAGTATGAACAGTTCCCTTCAAAACACCCCGAGGGGATTTATCTGTTATTTCACCGCCGGAGAAAAAGAAAACAACGGCTAATTGGACTGAGTCATCTCATCTCATCTTCTGCGGCAATCGAAACAAAAGACGCGGAGAAAATAAAAAAAAACACAAAAATCCCAACGAAACTCGGCCGCGGTTTGAACCGAAAAGAGACGAGCTGGGCAGGAAAAAGTGGAAGAGGATGGAGAGCTGGAGGAGAGCTGGAGGAGAGCTGGAGGAGGAGTGATGGCCTGTTTGGGCTGCAGTAGGTAATCTGAGAGCAGATCCACAGTTTGTTTGCCTTCTGGCCACTAAAGAAAAGCCATTAGGGGCCAATCCTGACCCCACAGGTGGCTTTTATTGGACTCAAACCGGGTCGTCTGAAAAACGTGGCACTGGTCCTTTTTTTCCTGCAACCATTTTCCTGATGTATCTTCGTTCTGAAGAAAACCGGGGAGCCCTTGAGTGGCTGCCCACCGTCTTCCCGAACAGGTGTGTCTATGATCTTGGTACGGGCCGAACTGGAGGTTAATTTAAGTATTCAATCAATCAATCAGTCAATTAATTAATTAATCAAAAACTGAGTAAGAAACAACAGAAGGAGCACACAGTGCGAACGGTTTGGAAATGTGTGCAGGCTTCTTCTTCTTCTTCTTGCAACAAGAAGCTTTTTCTTCTTCTTCTTTCTTCCTTTTCTTCTTCTTGCTTTTTCTTGCTTCCTCTTGCAAAAAGAAGCTTCTTTTTGCTTCTTCTTCTTCTTTTTCTTCTCTTAACTAGTGGTTTTCTCCCATCTCGACTATTGTATTTATTGTGACTCTCCCAGCTTGGACAGTAAAACCGTTAGCCCAAAAAGTCTCACATCACCCCTCTGTTCATTGAGCTTCACTGGTTACCCCCGGTTACGCGTAGTTACCCCCGGTTACGCCAGGCCACAAGCATCAAATTCCAGTCCCAGATTCTGGCCCAGCTCGTCCCTCCGGTCATCAGCAGGTTGTCGTCCAGCAGAGCTGCTCCACTTTAAGACATCGGACTGTTTTCAGGTGTTGTTCCAAGATGGTGGAACAACCTATAAGTTCCCTTTTTATCTTTAGGAAACTCTTAAAGACCCACCTCTCCACAGAGCATCTCCTATCCTGACTCCTACCCAGACCTCTGGACCCTCTACTGCTCTTTCTGTGCTTCCTTCTCTCTCTCCACCACTGATTTTTCCTCTAGAGAGCTTATTGTCAGATTGATAACTGTAAACATGTGTCTACTTTGTAAGTCGTTTTGGATAAAAGCGTCTGAATGCAGAAACATGAACATAAGCAGTTTGTGTATTTCTAGTCTAATTTAGTCCTTTTTGTAGTCAATTTGTGTACTTCTGGTTTAGTTTTGTCCATTTTATGGTCACTTGATGTATTTCTGGTCTAAAATAAGTCCTTTTTGTGGTCAGTTTGTGTGTTTCTGGTCTACTTTTGTCCTTTTAGTGGTCAGTTAATGTATTTCTGGTCTAATTTAGTCCTTTATGTGGTCAGTTTGTGTGTTTCTGGTCTAATTTTGTCCTTTTAGTGGTCAGTTTGTGTGTTTCTGGTCTAATTTTGTCCTTTTAGTGGTCAGTTTGTGTGTTTCTGGTCTAATTTAGTCCTTTTTGTTGTCAGTTTGTGTATTTCTGCTCTAGTTTTGTCCATTTTCTGGTCAGTTCATGCATTTCATGTATGGCAGCAAAGAGAGAGAAGGAAGTGCTAAGGGTCAGGATGTGTACTTTGTAAGTCGCTTTGGATAAAAGCGTCTAAATGCATAAACATGTAAACATGTCTGACTTTGAGCTGCCTTTGTGTGCCCAGGTGATCCCCGACTAACTCAGAGTTCAGATCTGAGGGGCCGACAGCTTCAGCCATTATTGTTTCCATGGCTGGAGATGTCTTAACGACTGCGGCTAAAAGTTTCCTCAGATATTAGCCGTCTCGGGGGGGGGGGCACATCTAAAGGGCGCACGGGGGGCGAGTTGATGCCCTGCAGAGCCTCTTTAGTGCTGCCATTTCTGATCGACAGTGAAGCTTTTATCTCTCCCCGGGAACGGGGCTGATTGGGGGTGTTTTTCCCTTTTAAAGGGGGCGGGTTTTCCCTCCCCTTTACTTTTTTTTTTTTTTCTGAGAGCGGGGAAAGCTCTGCGGGGGAAGCCGTGGTGGGCCGGGGTCGCCACGGAGACGGGAAACGACCCGAAACACTATCTGAGCACTAACAGATGCCAATGAGAGGCTCTCGGGAGCAGAGGTTTGATCTCTGGATGTTGAAGGCTAATAGGTGCTAAAGGCCTGCCTGTTAAAGCCTAAATGATTTCTGGAGTCATCAACCCCCCCCCCCCAGGTCAGAGGCTTTTCTTAGGCTCTGCTCGTCTGGCAGTTTTAACCTGAAAGGTCTTCATATTGCAGACGTTGTAATTAGTTCTTTGCAATTAGAGCAATTTATTGCTTTGTGTATCCCTCCGAGACGCAGCTACTCAAACACAGTCTTAATTTGCAGTGCTACACGCTGCGTAATTGGGAATTTGTTTCTCCACATCCCTCAGAGATTCACAGAGGTGCGCACATCCAAACAGAGTGCACGTGGAAACAGGTCGAGTTTCAGAGATGAGCAGGTGCAGCCGGGGACCTCCGTGCCCTCCTCTAATTAGACCCCGGTCCACTTTATTGAAAAACAGCTAATCGGAAAGCTCATCAGCCGGGTAGACAGAGATGGAGCCCCGAACTCTGCTGTAATTTGGAGCTTCAAACCAGTCGGCTGGGATTAGGGAGGTTTGACTCAGTATTAGGGATGGGGATCGTTAATATTTATTGATATCGATACTTTTATCGATGCTCCTTATGGATCCGAGTCTTTATCGATACCACTATCGATACTTTTCTGTTATTTGGTGGAAAGACGATGCGATAATATTTAACAAATAAATAATTGTATTTTAAATTAAATGTAATTTTTAATAAATGTTGGCATCAGTAGTTTAATCATATATTCTAAAATGATTAGAGCAATATACAACTGTATTACTCATGTTTCTCGCCAAAAACTCAATTTCCCTTTTCTTTACGTTACACTGGACCGCATCATGATAACCTAATTGTCGTTTCACGGAGCCAATCTGAACACATCTGAAACTTTATTTACTTTTCAAGCTAACTAGCTTGTATGCTACCGATTACAACACGGATTTCACAATTACTATTGTAATAATAAAAAAAACAAACAGACTCGATAGTGGTATCGATAAGCCCAAACGGTATTGATTTTCAGGTTTTGAAAAAAGTGGAACCGGGTCCTTGATAGAACCGGGTTTCGATCCCCAACCCTATCTCTTGTGGCAAAGAAAAACAGACAATATCTGCATCTGGATACTAAAAGGAAATAAGAATAATAACGCGGAGCCCCATATGGTGCGGGATGCGATCCCTTATTGGCTGAGGCCGTGATATTAATAGCATTAGATGGGCAGGCGGGGGAGCTGCACCAGACAATTTCCCTGGATATGAAAAGCAAAAGATTGCAGGTGGGATTAGGCTGAGAGTGGCCTGTGGTGTGGGGGGTACAGTCAAGTAAAAAAACTCAACGAAGTGAAACAATAAAAACAATCAAAATAAAACATCCAAGTCCAAACCTAATGCATCCATATGCTCATGCACAATTAAAGTCAAAACATAAATGGGATTTCACTCTTCTTAGCATTTACTTCTTTTAGAAGTTGTCTTAATTTCCCTCTCTTACTTGGTTTTGTTTTTTCTTATTTTTATTTTTTTTGCTCTTACTGTTTTTTTTTTAATCTTTGAGTTTGTCTTGTGTTGTGGTGATAATTGTGTTTTATGATCTGCTCAAATGGCCTGTACAGCGCTTTGATTTTAGCTTTGGCTGACTGAAAGCGCTTTATAAATAAAGTTGAGTTGAGTAAGAAGGCCCAATTTAAAAAAATAAAAATAATAAATAAATAATCTTATCTCACCTCGCTCCTCCACCGACTGTTTGTCTTTAGGCCTCCGCTCGTCCTCTTCCTCAGATCCCCCTCGTTTATGTTTGTCTTTGGGATGCTTTCCCTTCTTTTCCGGCTCCTCAGGCTCTGGGTGTTTGCCTTGGGGGGGCTTCTGGGGTCCAGGAGGAGGAGGAGGAGGAGGAGGAAGAGGTCCCGGTGGCCCTGAGCCAGCAGAGCCAAAGGTTAGAAGAGAAAAAAATGAGGATTACTCAATTGGCCCGAGTCTCACGGAGCAATCAGACTTTGAAGAGTTTCATTCCCCCGAAGAGATATCCATCATCCGAGGACAAAATGACTGCTGACATGAGAGTAAAACTCAATATGGCTCATTAGTGATGTTATTACAGGAGCCGTCGTACGTCTTCCCCTGACAAGTTCAGGGGATGTGATTGTGAGGAATGAACAGACCTCAGCGGGGCGCGGAGGAATGCTTACTTACCTGTTCTTCCTCCGGCCCCACACCGGAGATTTGGACATTTTTTAATCTGACGACATCAGCAGAGAGGGAGAATGAACACCTGTCAAACTCCCTCCATCGGCCATTGCATCAAGCAGCCAAAAACAATAGCTGAGAATTGAATTGTGCTCGTGTCCCATTGTTTCCTTAATTGCTCGGCTGCATCATGTGCAATCAAACCTAAACAAAATAATTGTGAGTGATTGCAGCATCTGTGCTCACACAGCTGACTCCTCTCTGTAATCAGCTTTTTGCCCTCCAACTACATTAAACATCAAACTTTAACCGTCAGATAAAGGATCCTCGTTTGTTTCTTTTTATCCGGTAAAGATGTCCCGGTCAACAGTTCTCTTGACTTTCAGAAACCGCTTTTTCTCTCATTTCATGAACATTTTCACTCACAGGAATGTGTTTTTGTATCTTCCCGTACATCATTCAGGCTATAAAAAAAAGCCCCCTACTCAAGGGATGAGCCAGCATTGCATCTACACAGAACAGAAAACTTGGCAAAGAAACAGAGAAGAGTTTTACAGGCAGAAAGTTGGATTTTTAAAGGCAGGAACAAGCTAAAGGGGAGGAAAGGAAACCAGACATGGACTGAACCCCATCAGCTCTGATGGAGGGATGGATCCTCCACAGCCGTATAAAACTAAACTTTTTGGGCTGAACTTTTTGATTAGAGTGGAATTAACGGCCTGATCGTCTGCTTAAACAAAAGAGCGCGATTATTTATAGCAAACTGCAAATGTCACAGTCTGAGGGCTGCTTCAAAAAGTACAATTTCCTCTCCCCTCTCCGGTTATATTCAAATCGCATCCTTTCACAATATTTGTCGAACTTGAGGTGCGAAATCTAACAAGACAGGAAGTTGTGAGCCTCCAAGACGCAGAGGGCTAATTAGTGCTCCTGCATCTCTGGCTTGTTTCTTCAAAAGGCCACATCCAGTCGACTGCCTCAAATGTCACCGGAGTCTAACAAGCTGAGCGGGGCCACCAGAGACGGCTCAATTTGTGTTAAGTCGTCCCCACCGAGGAAGACGTTAACAGGGAAACCCTGCAGGTTTAGCTGGTGGACGCGGTTGTTTTCCCCCCATCAGGACCCCGTCGGGTCCCAGGCAGCTTGATAAGGTCCCCGAATCGACACGGACGCATTAAAAAGACACTTGTGAGGCTGCAGCTTTTCAGAAAGTGTGGAAGAAAAGAAAAGGGGCGCTCCTCCATCCTCTGGGTGTTAGCGAACTTTGTTGGTACAGTGGGGGAAATAAGTATTTGACCCCTTGCTGATTTTGCAGGTTTGCCCACTTACAAAGAATGCAACGATCTATAACTTTAATCATATGTACATTCTAACAGTGAAAGACAGAATCCCAAAGAAAATTCCAGAAAATCACATCATATGAATTTATAAAAATTGATAACCATCTGATGAAGCCTTCTTTGTAAGTTGTTGTCGGTTTCAAACCTGCAAAATCAGCAAGGGGTCAAATACTTATTTCCCCCACTGTAAATGCTAAAAGAGCCGGAGTGCTAACTGAGTGTTGGAGGGAGAGATAACCAAATTACCCTTTTCCTAAATCCATCTCTCACAGTAGGTGCTGAGAGACAAATTGCTGGTGAAAGAGCGGAGGGACTCGGCTTTGCCCACGCTCCCGGCCTAAAACAGCCACAGACACAGGAACCCAACTGACTCGACAGGGAAATGGTGCTCAGGCTTTCCGGCTAAATCAACAGCAAAGATGTCAAACCTCGTCTTCTGAAGGTGGAACAGAAACAGCTGGATTTTAAAAAAGGCCCAGAAACCGAGTCAAAATTACTGAGTTTGCATCCATCTTACATAAGATGCTGTTGCCTAACTCTAGGAGTTCAAATAAGGTCAGAAATTCTGATTAATGTGAGAAAAAATTGTCAAAAGATCACAAAAAAGAAGCACCAGCAACGTTTATCTAAACTTTAAATATGAAAGTGATAAAAGCTCTTCTGAGTTAGTTTTAATAGTCATATTTCTGAAGTAAACCTGTAGCAGTTACGCAAAAAAAAAGGGATTTTAGAAGACATCTGTGTTTCTGATCAGAAGAAGTGATTCATTTTAGTTTAAAGCATCACTCTTTAACCTCAAAACTAAGAGATTTTGACTTTTAGGGTTGAGGATGCAGCCCAAAATACAGATGCTCCACATGTTCAGGCTTTTGATCCCCACATTTTTGTTTCTCTGATTGTGACTCAAAAGCTGAAGAGCAAAGAATTTGGGAAAATACCTGTGATTATTTGGTCGTATCTGACAGGGTTTCCTGTTAAATAAATGAATATATGTGGAAGGAATAAGCAAAACGAGGCACAGGACGTGGAGCTTTGCACCCTAAAGGTACAGTATGACTGCGTTTCTGGGAATAAATCGTGTTAAATTCATGCAGTTAAGGTTTAACTAAAGATCTGTGCAGCTGGTTGGACAGAAGTGAAGGAGAAAAAGTGATGATAGATGATATAATATCCATTTGTGCTCTGATTTTTCGCGCTATTCTGCCCTCAGATTAACTCCCAGAGTGCTGAAATATCAAGACTCTTACTTTTCTTTAAGCACAAAGCCTTAATAACCAGATGCTGTGTGAGTGTCCCCCGTTTTGTTTAGTCACTGACAAATTGTTGCTCTGGAGGAGGATAAGATCTCTGGTGTCATCCTGATTATTTCCCATCGTTTCGACGGAGCCAAGCTGAGAGGTGTCTCCATAAATACAGTCGTTATTTCTCCAGCACAGTCTGTCATTTACAAATTTAGCAGGTTGTTAAATTCCCCACACAGCCTGTGAATGCAGAGCGAAGCTCCAGATAAAGAAGAAAGTGTGATTGCTGAATAGTTATCAAGTATCTGCTGCAGCTGAGCATGAAGGGGGGGGTCTGGGGGGGGTGTTGCTGGGAACAAAGTGTGTGTGGGTGTGAGTGTTTTCGCTGCTTGAAAGCTGAAGTACAGCCTGTTTGTACCGAGTCTGTTTTAAGTGCGTCGGCTTCCCTCCAACAGGCCGAGCTGTAAACAGGCCGTCAGCACATCCAGAATCAGAGTTTCAGAGGCTCCACAGCCATAAAACCGGCCGTCAAACGGGCTGGGTATAATCAGGAATATGTAAATACACCAGGATGGAAAGGTAACTTTGATTGCT